CCCCTGCTGCTCGTGCACGGGTGGCCAGGGTCCATCGTTGAGTTTATCAAGCTCCTGCCCTTGCTCGCTGACAAGTTCCACGTTGTGGCCCCAAGCATTCCTGGATACGGCTGGAGTGAGGCACCCAAGGAGAGAGGCGCGGACGTGGTGTTCATGGCAGATCATATGGCAGAGCTGATGCAGAAGCTGGGTTACGACAGCTACGTTGCACAGGGTGGCGACTGGGGTGCAATCATCACCTCACTGGTGGCGCAACGATATCCGCAGCAGTGCGTGGCGCTACATATAAACATGTGTGTTGCAATGCCTGGAGATTGGTATGATCTTGTGAAAGTCCTGCTGGCGTGCCCTTTCTGGTCTTCTGAGGAGTGGGCAGGCATCAGAAGCACCATCTACTTCCAGAAGTACGAGACGGCATATCAGAAAATCCAGGGCACGAAGCCGCAGAGCCTCGGATATGGTCTGAACGACAGTCCTGTCGGCCTTCTAGCTTGGATCTTAGAGGCTCGGCTTTCTTCGGTAGTGCCCGGTTGGCCCTTTGTCTTTTGGGGACTTCCCTTTTTTCCGTTTTCTGAAGAACAGGTAAATCCCAATTCAAGCGCTAAAGCCTAAAGCCTAAACCCTATGACCCTATAAGCCCCCAACCCTAGAGCCTCTAAGCCTAAACCCGAAGCTCAAAGCCCTGGGGAACCCAGGAGAAGTTTCAGAGCTGGAGCGACAGTCGTGGCGGCCGACCCGAGGCCAGTGGTCTTACCATGGATGAGATTTTGACACTCAGCACAGGAGTATACATCTTAAGTAACTTAGTGCTAGAGTGGGTAGCCTTTTATAGGTAGCTTTTTAAGTAACTTAATTTTCGGGTAGGTAACCTCTGAAATACAGTAATTTTTCAGCTTTTAAAAGGGGGGGTATTCGCATCCCTATGAAACCTTTGGTTTCCCTGGCATACGCGACGAGTAAGGACAAATGTCATGGTCTATTGGACAACTCAGAGCATTACTTCCAGCCTGAGGCTCTACTACGAAACTTTGAAGGATCATCCGCCCCCGAAGGAGGCTAGGTTCCAGAGTAGTACACTTTTTGACCTTCATCTTTTTGGGCTCCCAACTATGTCAATGTAGGGAAAAGGGTACCGTTTTGGGTGTCTACTGGGAACCTAGGTGAAGAAGGATTCACAGCCACGGCTTCGGCAAATCAGTGTGCAGGTGCCTACGGCAGTCTTATGGGCACATTATGACCTCTACAAGCTGCCAAGGAGTGTGGCCGCACTTTGCTACAACATTCGCCAGTGGACGAAACCTTCGAAGGGTGGGCACTTCTTTGCTTTCGAGCAGCCAGAGCTCATAGCTGCAGACATCGAGCGCTTCTTCTGCCAAACGCTCGACTTTGAGCACTGCAAGAAGCACGCGCCTCTCCCTGGCCTACCGGTTCGCCCGGGTAAGTACATTCTGCTAGCCATCATGGCTGCAGCTGCAGTCCGCACGATCCGCCACAGGTTGTAGTGACGTAGAGTAGCTAAGAGCCCGAGCCTCACCGCTGCCTCCCTGCGGTGAAAAAAATCCGAGCGGCTGCGAGGGTGACAGATTACAGCTCGGCATCAGGTTGCAGACCAAACGTCTGGTAAGGGACCCCTTAAAACCTAAACCCTAAACCTAAACCCTAAAACCCTAAAACCCTAAAACCCTAAAGCCCTAAACCCTAAACCCCCAAACCCTAAACCCCTAAACCGTTCCCTAAGCCGCTTTGCAGCGACCCAGGATGCTGCAAGGGAGGCCACCGATGCTGCCATGGCAATCAGCGATGGCCAGCAGGACAGCGGAAGTGGGTTTAGGGTTTAGGGGT